CTCCCTCTATCCCTCTGTTATATGCAATAGAAAGAATAAATGAGTCCCAGGTGTCAACATAACCTTCAATAATTCACTAAAACTCAACGGTCTGGTTCAGGATTAAGATGTGTTATGTTAGAAGTGGCAACTGTTGCTCGAGGCCTCAATACTCAAGTGGATACAAGTAGCGGACTAAAGAGGGCAGATTAGTTCACTTCTCTTTTACACCCTGTTACATCACTTGAGAAAGACTTTCCTCGCCTCCCACAAAAACTTAAAGCTTGATTTTACTTTTTTACATATCAGCTACTAAAACAAGTTTCCCTCAAATACTTTCACGCTTACTTTTAGAAAAACACAGGTAATGTCTTACAAGGGTTGTTGTGGCTCAGAGTGAAAGTGGGCTCGCTCTCAGTTTAGAGGTTGGTAGTTTGAAAACAAAAGGAAGTACTGCTTGAGTGTAATCCCCACTTTTCAAGATCTTTACTATAGAAATTACACTGATGCAGGCGAGTTTTAAGGCAAATATGATCTTAGTGATCTCCTCTGGAAAGAAGTGAAATAAATGTGCAAAGCTACAATCCAATAACAGTTGAGATGCTGCGTAAAATGTTGATGAAAAAAAGAAAAAAAAAAAGTTTGCAAACCATTTAAACCACTAATGGGGTGCTCACACCAAGCGCGAGTAAAATCATCTACTCGCTTAATTCGCGCGAATCTAGACATGTGAATGAATAGTATTTACTCGCTTCATTCGCGCGTCACAGAAAATTCCAACAGTAATCCCTGTAAATTCAACTGGCAGAATCAAGTGAAAGACAAAGGTGTTTTACAACTTACCAGGTAATCCGACCTCCTCACTCACTTGCCTCCAGGCGAGCTCCTTTTTATTCTGGTTTCTGTAATTGAAAGATAAGGTATCATGATTCGGGGCACCCACGCAACCTTCGTGCTGATCAGTTAGTTTGATTGAGTTTGATTAGTTTTCTTCACACTTTTTCCAATTGTATATCCAGTTTAAATTATTTGCAAACCATCAGTCTTTTTTTAAACATCATTTAACACAGTGTCCCAACTTTTGAGGAATTGTGATTGTAGTGCTGAAACCCAGAGTTGAAGTCACTCATAACTGTAAATTCTGCTTCATAGTACAGGCTCCTGTATGAAAGTCTTGTGCCACTTAATACATCCATTACAATGCTGGATCCACCTGACTGCTAACCAAGTTGGTGGAACGATAAAGGTTTTATTTATTTGAGTGCAGTTTTTCACAGCCTGCCTGTGTAAACACACTAAATGCCAACATGCATTTTCGGAGAAATGTACCAGCCTGTTTATCACAAACACTTCAAATGAAAACAGAGTGTGAGTCAGCCTGTGTTTAATATGTAGAAAAGCCAACTGTGCTTTTGCTTTTTATTGTGCACCCTGTTCTGCAAATCAAACACACCCTGTTGTTTTGGCTGCATCCTCCTAACCGTGCGTTCTCCCCTGCATGCAGATCCACACCAAGTCCAAGTTAGCTGTTATGATGAATGTCCAAGCCCTATAAGAACACCTTGCTTGGAAATACTGGTGAAGTCAAGGGACATTTTTTTTGTTTGTGTGTATGTGTGTATAATGGATGCAGAGACACAGGATAGTGGTGCATGATACATCAAAGCAGAACAGCATGTGAACCGCAGTGTGTCCTAACTCTGCAGTCTCCCACAGCTACTTATCACTTTGAATGGAGTATAATGGCAATAGGCCGACTCAGCAGAGTCCATAGTCCTGGTTGCAGTGAGTAGGAACAGACTGCATGACAACATATGGCTGGGGACAAGCAGTAAATTCCAAAATTACTGAATAAATTCAGCACAGTGGCACTAAAACAAGACATATGCTTGTTTATTAAAATTGATTTCATTTGTTACGGCAAGATTATGTTTATCAGCCTGACACTAAAACTGCATAGCATAACATTTTCCCCCCATCACAAAACAGACCTGAAAAAGCTGAGTTTAGACTGAACCGCAAAACATGTTCGCTAATTACTGACTGGAGACGTGCTCAACTCAAATGAAACCAAATTAGAGAAATTCAAGATAAAATCTGAAATATATGTTAAATAAAGTGATTTTTAACTTTGTGTAGGATAGTTCCTTCTTTTTGAGGGGAGGTTAGTTAAGGTAGAACAGAAGCAGAAGCAGAACCGGCACCGAATCTGCAAAGAGGGTCAACTCAAACATGCAATTTAGCTCATTTTAACAAAAGTCTTTTCAAAGATTTATGTCAGAGGATGTGAACCCTCTATTTAGAGCATTTTCTGTCCTGTACTTTGCCATCAGGAAAGCCTTTATGGATTGTGGTGCATGAACACATTAAAATGAACATGTCCAATGAAAGCATTTGTATTGTGGTGAACTGTTGCTACCTATAAAGGAGAACATAAAGGCAGGTCGCACTAGAGGCACCGAACAGCTGCTGACATTCTGGAGGATTTTGAAAGGTACTTAAGAGCTGCTGAGAGTTACTGAGCACTCTGTGTCACATCTGCTGAAGTCGAGTCATAATGGATTTTTTGGACATTATTTTTAATTAAAGATTTAAAGAACTATGTAGACGAGTTTATTTAAATCTGTGTGAACTAAATTTGAGCGAGCTCGCCCTAAGTTTAAACTCAGACAACATTTTTAATTTGTTTGATAGAATTTTCTTTTTAATCTTGATTTTATTCCAATACTGTAATTTCTAAAGAATACTCCAATCAATTATAACATATCAAACTGACACAATATTCTACTTATATCATACCTAAAAACTAGCATCCACTCCTCTATCTCTTGTTGGATTCATCCGTATAACACTGTGTGAAATCCTAGCACACAGGTAAACAGACATACATGTGACAGATTGTCTCATTGTGTGCTGAAGCATTAACGTTATTAGTGTTATGAGTGAAGCAATAAAGATCTTATCCAACTCACCCAAAGGATGATAACGCAGCAGGAAGGTTATCTCTGAGATAACATTTATTTTTTAACTAAAGTTTATTTTCAACCAAACTTTTTTTAAAGCTACTTTCACAAACGGAGTAAGAGCACACAAGGTAGGGATTTAACCTAATGTTACAAGTGAGTCCTCTATTTAAAACTTCAGTAATGACTGTGTAATGGTTTCATCATAAGAGTGTTTCTTGATTATGTAAGCTGGCTCATAACAGAACGATGTGTCGGCTTTTTATGTTAAATATTAATGCTTGTGAATGACGTCACACAGCTGAAAGGAGATTTAAATAGATTTACCTTTTACATCCTGTATTTTATGTAAACGTTTTGCCCCAGTTATGTTTACCTTAATTAAAACATACTAGGAGGGTTTCACTCCCCTTAAGTTGCATCCCTCACTTTCGACTTAGTTCCCCCTGCCAGAGATTCATAGAGAGATGCAAGGAAACGAAGTGAGGGAGCAAAGAGACTGGAAAATATATGTTTTTTGGAGAAGGAAGCTATATGTCTTCTGAAGCTCTTTGGAAAATGCTGACTTCCTTCTTGGTATGACAGCTAGCCCTCCTGATGTTAACACAGCAGGTCCTGTCAGTATGATGATCTGGGCTTGCTAAGCAACAGCCGCACGCCAAGCTTGTATACCACGTGTACAAACAAATCAGAGTTGAACTTTGGCTCGCGCTCAAGGAATTTTTTCTATTGCTTAAAACACTAACAGCCATGGTAATGACATAAACTGCTATATTTACAAAGCAGTGTTGTAAGCACAGTGCATTGTTTTGGTATTTCAGCCTGTAAAATAAGAACAAGTGCTGCTCAGAACTGGGACATATGGGTGTTTTATGTTCAGACAAAGAGCTAAGAAACAGGGTGGTCCAGGTGGAACTGGGATGTGTGGTCACCTTATACGGGACCCATCAAAGTCAACCTGACTTTAAAGGGATATTCCAGCATAAAATTAATTTATGGTCAAACACACCGCAACACTGAGTTAGACACCCCATTGAGAGATGAATGTTGCTGACCACTTGCTTCTCTAGTTATATCAACTTTAGGAACGACCACACGATAGCAAAACACAGAGCCACGCGCTCAACCAAAAAGCCACTCTATAGCCACAAATAATGCTCAGAACAGCACCTAACTTCATCAACAGTACATATAGGGTCCTAGCCATAGCACGAGCCACAATTTTTTTTTTTAACTTTGCCTGATTTCTTTAGCAAGGAGACTAAACACAACTCACCCACTCTCTTCCAGCAGCCATTTGTTTGTACGGAGAACTCTGGGTGAGTCCATCGACTGCAGCGGGGTGTTGCAGCTCAAGGAAGAACATTTATGATCATTACTTCATGGAAATGCAATCAGACCGAGTCACTAAGGCAGAAGAACTACCGCGTCCGCAGTGCAAAATGATTAATGTGATAATTATTGCTTCAAGGAAATGATTAAGTAATAATCATAAATGTTCTTCCTTGAGCTGCATCACCCCGCTGCAGTCGATGGACTTGCCCAGAGGTCTCCATACAAACAAGTGGCTGCTGGAAGAGGGTAGGTGAGTTGTGTTTAGTCTCTTTGCTAAAGAAATCAGGCAAAGCTAAAAAGATGTTTGGTGGCTAGTGCTATGGCTGAGACCCTATATGTGCTGTTGATGACGTTAGGTGCTGTTTGAGCATTATTTGACCCTAACCTAATTATACGCCAAAATATCCCTTGTTATCATTACCTTAGTCCAGAACATGGACTTCATTTTAAATTCTTTTGTTTACCATTACTGCTCATTAGTTAGGCGAGAAACTGGCAGGAAGTTCAACGGAATGGTGCTGACATCTTATGAATAAGTTGTATAATAGGTTTTGTCTGGAGAAAATCAAAGAAAAGCTTATATAAGAACAGGTCAAGTTATTAAATTTTAAGGGCAGCTGGATAGAAGCAGCTGGCAGCTGGCCACTTCAAATATTTAGCAGCATTCAGACACAGAAAATAAAAGTCATACAAGCAAAGCCAGCCTGGAAGCGAAAGCCACAGATGTCAGAAGAAAAGTGCAAAGATGGAGCAAAACCAAGGCAGGATGAAGTTCTGCAGCATCAAAGCAGCATCAGCACTTGTCACAGTGGAATACTGATGGGGGGACGTGTTGCCTTGGCTGTGAGCCTCAGCTGCCCCAGCTTCAGCTCTGCTCCACCCGCCATCCATATCCCCCCTGCAGCTACCAGGGGGCCACAGAGGCCAGGACAGGGTGTCGAGCTAGAGTCCTGCGTCATGCATCTCAATGCAAAGCAGGCATGTCGGCTTGTCAGCCCCCCGAGAGCCGACTCTCCTCCCCGTCTGACACCCTGGCACCCCAACCGGTTCAACACTCGTCAGCATTTATTTTCATAAGCAGAGGAGCGAGGAGCTGTCACAGTGTGGGAGAAAGCAAGACTCCAAATTCTACTTCAGTGTGTTTGACTCACACAGGCACACACAGGAGCAGGGGTGGGAAGTTGCAGAGTACTAATGCTATATTACTGTGCTAGTAGCTGAATATGAGAAGGACTGAAAAATAACACTGGGGCCTCTACACCTACAAAACTTATTAAAGCAATCAAGACCAGCGAGGACTCTGATTATCTCTTGTGGATGATTTGGAAGAGCAACAAACTGCAGCTTTTGCAGAATCAACTCAGGGGTGTCTCCATTGAGCAAGGAAACCCACTTGGAGCTCATATTAAAATACCAATGAAAACTGGAAAAGTTTACTCTGTCTTTTTTAACAACTGCACAAAGCATGAATTTCTTTAACATCTCATCTGCTTTGAGTGTATGAGGGTTGAGGATTTTCTAAACAAGTTGTATTGACTGACAGATGAACATGTAGCTTTTCCTCCTCCACCTCTTTGCTTGTTTTGGCTTGTGAAAAGTTCAGTTAAATTATCTTTTCCAGTGTGCAAAGCAACATTGTTCAAAGCTAAAACACTGTGACTACATCCATATTCTCAGTTGTCACATGAGTGTAACTTTAGCAGCCTGTAATACTAATGATACTGGAGAAGATTCAGAGAGGGTGAGGATTTGTCATTCAGAGGGTGAAAGTAAGCCGCTACGCAGCCGTTACGCCGTACCGGGAAGATTTAAACAGTAGTTTACAGCCGTTACGCCATCTTTTCCCCCTGCAATGTATAGAGCTAAATCTGCTTACCGTGTTGCTGCGCGTCAGTCTGACTCTCCTCTGTAACCGTAGTAATCCAACAGGGCCGCGCTGCTTGCGAGTGAGTCGTATTGGCTTCCGCAAACAAACTCCAGTGCGCACTTTTGATTGGACGCTGGTTGCCTAGGCGCCGGGGACTGCTGTGTAGCTCCGTTTTTACAGTTATTAGGGGGTTCATGTTTTCTATGATTGACACTTGATACAGCCTATGGGTGTGCAAAGATTGCGCAGCTCACCCGGGGATTCACTGTTTGAGCCGAGCGTTATCACAGCGACTCTTGGTGACTCTCCTGCCGAAGGCGTACAACGCTACTGCGCAATGTTAGTTTCCGGAAGTGGAGAAAAACACGGAATTACCGAGAGCTTTTCAGCTTCAAATCCGTATACTGGCAGAAGGCGGAAGCAAGTTGTCCATATTATATACAGTCTATGGTAGGGAGACCTCTGGCCAGTCCATTACAGACTGCTGCAGGGTGACGCAGCTCAAGGAAGAACATTTATGATCTTTTCTTTATCATTTCCTTGAGGTAATAGTCACCATGCTAATCATTTTGTACTGCAGACGCGGAAGTTCGTCTGCCTTAGCGTCTCGGTCTGACTGCATTTCCATGAAGACATGATCATAAATGTTCTTCCTTGAGCTGCGTCCCCCCGCAGCAGTCCGTAATGGACTGGCCTGAGGTCTCGCTACAAACAAGAGGCTGCTGGAGGAGAGTTGGTGAGTTGTGTTTAGTCTCTTTGCTAAAGAAATTAGGCGAAGTTAAAAAGATGTTTTGTGGCTAGGACCATATATGTACTGTTGATGAAGTTAGGTGTTGTTCTGAGCATTATTTGTGGCTATAGAGTGGCGTTTTGGTTGAGGTTTGTGTGTGGCTCCTCAGACCGCTGTGTGCTATCCTGTGGTTGTTACTAAAGTTGGTATAACTAGAGAAGCAAGCGGTCGGCAACATTCATCTCTTGAAGGGGTGTCTAACTCGGTGTCACAGTGCTTTTGACCCTAAATTTATTTTACCCTGGAATATCCCTTTAACCCAGAAATAAAACAAAATGCAGAGAAATTTTGATTTTTTTGTGTAAGAGCTGCCACAGATGAAGATACTGTTGCATCAGAGTCGGCAACTCGTTAAACTTGGGTGTGCTCCTCTTGTACAAAGCCTACCGGTACAGTACCTGCAAGAACCTTATCCTACTATCACCCCTGTTTGTGGTACAGTTGCTCTTCACTTTTGGGAGTACACTTTTAAAAATGGAGTCATGTAGCTATAAGTTTGGTAGTCTCTTGTGACTCTATATTCTGAGACTTAGCTTTGCGCAGAAATTGCATGAGGAAATAAGGGCAACTTTTCATAAAACTGTACTTGGTCATCATCCCTGTGTTTATTGGAATTGATAAAAATCCCAATTTCTGCTTATATTGTAAAACTTGTATCTTCAGACCCAGAGAGGCCCCTGAAAAATCTCCACCCATTATAATCAAATAGAAAAAGAAGTCAACTCTTCCTAAGCTAATATTGCCCTCAGATTTATTTCAACTATGAGCGAGAAATAGGCCAGATCTTACACCATCAGAAATTAAATATGAACAAGATTAAGTTTTATTTTTGAATCATTCATCTTTGATGAGTCATTAGAGATTTGATGCCTTTAATGATAATTTTATATATTTTCAAGCAGGGAATGAACTCAGTAACTTCTTCCTGCCAAACACTGGGTAAATGTTGGCTTTGGGAGGTAAATTCAAGGTTACCAGGCAGTTAAAGTCTGAGCTAAAACCACGCAGTTTCCTCCAAATTGTTGGGTTCCAACTCCTCTCTTTTTAACCGTGTTTTCTTGCAGGAATGTGGTGAAAAGATGCATCCTGGTGGTTTTTTGTTTGTTGTCAAGCTGAAATCACAGACACAAAGGTCTGCTGATGACTTTCAGGATGGAGAATCTCTGTTTCATGAATCTTAGACCCTTAAAGCCTCATGTTATCTGAAGCTGAACTAGGGTTTTGACTTTTCTCTCTCATCTCGTATATTTTTGTTAGATGTGTTCTCACATGTAGATTCATACATCAGCCGAAAAACAATTTTGTTGTGTTCAATGAATGTTCTGCTTTTTAAAAAGTTCAGACTTCTGTAACCAAGAGCTCTGAAGTTTTAAATACTTCAGCTTTCTCTTTTAGCAGTACTTGCCAAATTGCCGTTGTACATTATTTTTTACTTACCACATAATGACAGTTTTTGTCCTGATGATTCAACCTGCACAGTTTTGAAAGTGCTCAAGCTGTCAGTCACATAAAACGGTCTGTGCTTAGCTGTAATGAGAGCTTGCAGTCATACAAAAAAAGAAAAGTGCTTTGCTGTCTTCCATTTATTATTATATGTTAGAGCCAGTGTTGCAGCACTCTTGTTTGCAGCGAGACCTCTCCAGTCTGTTACGGACTGCTGCGTGGTGACACAGCTCAAGGAAGAACATTTATGTTCATTTTTTCATTAAGAAATGCAACTGGAATCGAGAGGCTTAGGCAGAAGAACTACCACATCTGCGGTGCAAGACGGTTAATATGGTGATTATTACTTGAAGGAAATGATAAAGAAATTATCATAAATGTTCTTCCCTGAGCTGCGCCACCCCGCAGCAGTCCCTAATGGACTGGCCCGATGTCTTGCTACAAACAATAGGCTGCTGGAAGAGAGTGGGTGAGTTGTGTTTAGTCTCTGCTAAAGAAATTAGGCAAAGTTAAAAAGATGTTTGGTGGCTAGTACTATGGCTGGGACCCTATATGTACTGTTGATGAAGTTAGGTGCTGTTCTGAGTATTATTTGTGGCTATAGAGTGGCGTTTTGGTTGAGGTTTGCTTATGGCTCCTCAGACCGCTGTGTATTGCTATTGTGCGGTCATTACTTAAGTTGTTTTGTCTAGAAAGGCAAGCAGTCGGCAACATTCATCTTGAGGGGGTGTCTAACTCTGTGTTACGGTGTGTTTGACCCTAAATTAACTTTATGCCGGAATATCCCTTTAACCAATGGGTCCAAGTTGTTTAGTTAGTTATAATTTTCATCAATAGTTTGTGGGCTGCAGGCATCTTAAGGTGCAGTGATCCCAGAGTGTAATCATGAATGTGTGTTAACACAACATGCTACTGCCTTTATTGAGTGTTGTGGTGGAAAAACTCCTGTGTGTATGATGTATTCTATATAACCTTGCAGTTGTTTTTTAGGGAAGAACACTGGTGAATAACTTCTACCACTTTGAGTTACTGTTGTATTATCTGTACCGCTGAGAGTTATTGTTTGGGTAATAGAACTGAAGGTCAGCTACTTTCACTCCTATGAGAAACAGAAGATGTGAAACCTTCACCTCTGAGGGCAGTGAAAGTAGAGGTTTGAAATGAGTGAAAATGTATTGTTGATGATTACTGTCCAGTGGAAACATGCATGTAAGATGTTAGAAAGATACAATGATGTAGGAAAGTGTTTAAAAAGGAGAAACGCCCTAGCTGCTGTGAGACTCTCCTTCTTGCAAGAATAAATTCACAAAGAAAGACAAGAACTTGGCTCAAAAAACAGGCTACTTAAGTCCTAATGATAAGGACAGTAGGTCATTAAGCCTTGTCAGGATAAAAAATAGGTCATGACCGATGCTCTAGGACTGTGGCGAAACCAGCACCCCCAGATCTAAAGTTAATTGATGAAATGTGTGTCAAAAGGTCCCACACAGTCCTTTCAGGTTCGTACAGCCAGTACTTTGGAGTGAAACAGCCACCGTCCTTGTAAATCTTTAGGTAATGGGGACCTCTTCCTCCTTGATGACACAGACTTGGCTTGAACACCATACTCAAGGTTTACTGACTCGACTACAACACTGCTTACAGCTGTACTTACAGTTAACACCAACATCAACACTCAGATGATAATAAAGAAAGGGACAAACTCTTAGAAGAGGCCGGTCCTTGAAGAAAGAGAGAGAGAGGGGGACTCATAAAGGCTTGACTGGGACAGACAGGGAGAAGTTTGATAAAAGTGAACCAGACTGTGTTGTAAAGTCATACATCCTCCACCTGACAGATGAGAACATCAGAACAGAGTCATTGTTTTCAGTCTACTGTACGTTTCCTACAACTTAAATTAAAGTCAGAATGATTTTCTGTCAGACATGAAATGAGGTTCAGTTTGCTCTTAATGGCAACAACCAGAAACATGTTTTG